GTGTGGTTTGAATGGGGGGGCTCAATAACGTTCCTATCTAGAAAAGGGGGGCCCTGCAGAGAAAGTTTGGGAACCACTGCTGTATGGCATGCACGGAAAACCTCTCCGGGTAGCCGCCCAGGAGGCATCCGCACCAGATGTCCAAACCACCTCAACTGGCTCCTTTTGACATGGAGAAGCAGCGGTTATATTCTTTGACTATCCCGGATATCCAAACTTCTCACCCTATCCCTAAGGGAGAGCCCAGACACCCTGCGGAGAAACCTCATTTCGGCCACCTGTATTCGCAATCTCATTCTTTCGGTCATTACCCATATCTCATGACCATAGGTGAGGGTAGGGACGAAGATTCTATTATATATCACATCTATTATTATAAATTATTATATATTTATGACATCATATGTAGACCAAGAGGTCATGGGTCATCCAGCTCCAGCCTTATCGCTGAAATAGCTCTGAAAAGTCATATATACACCTTATTCAGGAAAATTTAATTGTATATATATACAGTTGTGTTCAGAGTAATAGCAGTGTGTCTAAAAAAAGTGAATAAAGCTGAAAATCCTTATAATAGTTTTTATTTCCATACAAGCAAATGCATTGGGAACACTACACATTCTATTCCAAATCAAAACAAGAAGAGAAATTCACCACATTTGTGTTACTCCTTTACAGAAAGTGAAGGAAAGGGAATATTAGGCTGCTCAAAAAAATAGCAGTGTCCACATTCTTCTTTACAAACTCAAAGATTCACCGTTTGAACTGAAAAATGTTTTAAGATTTTGCTTTCCTTTGAATCATTGAACTAATATTTAGTTGTATAACCACTGTTTCTGAGAAATGCTGCACATCTGTATTGTATGGAGTCGACCAACTTCTGGCACCTGTGAACAGGTATTCCAGCCCACAATGATTTGAGCTCCATCTAGGCCTCTGAAAACCTGTGGATTGAAACAGTATTTATGTTAAGAACTGCAGTCTCAGCAAAAAATACTGAACAGCTCAATAAATGCATACATCTCTTGACATAAACCAAGACATAATGAAATAAAAATACATATTGATATATTAATATAATGCTTCCCGGAAAATTTAGGATCTTTTTAAAGAAACAGGACGGTGTCTATGTTAAGAAACATCTCTTGGGATAATGCAAGACACAATGAAATAAAAATATATTGACAAAATGCTTCCTGGAGAATTTTGGATCTTTTTAAGTAAACAGGACAGTGTCCATGTTAAATATTGCATTCTCAGCAATTACTGCCAAGAAGAATTACTAATGACAGACTACATAACTTTTCTGTACTAAATATTTTTTTAAAATTACATTCTCAGCAGTTACTGACATGACTTACGGTTATTGATGCTGACTACATAACTTTTTCTGCAAAACATTTAATTTTGTACCTCATGTACCTCATGGCACATCTGCACCTTACCTTGTCTGCACCTATGGCACTTTATTTATTACATGGTAAATGCATATTTACTTCTGTATATAGATGTATATAAATTCGTTTTTCCTCTTTTTATACTTATCCTCTGTTAGTACTTATATACTCATCCTACGTCTAGCACAGTCGGAGTTCAGCCAGGAAAACACATTTCACTGTATGTTGTACCAGCTATAACTACATGTGACAAATAAAGAATCTTGAATCTTAATCGACAGAGAGTTGAATACGCTGTCGTGCGCCTTTTCACAGCGCGTTTGTTTCGCAGACTACACATTTTAAAACAATCGACAGCATTCTTATGCAATTTGACATATTGAATCGACAACATCAAACTAACGATCTGCAAAATACGAAATCAATCGGCTAAACACCCGAAAAAAAGAATAATAACGGGGCGAGATTTCTGCAGCTTACCTGTTAGCGCTGTGTAAGGCTAACCAGCCTTATATTGGTATTGGTATATTGGTATATAGGTATTGCATACATAAAAATCGTATTTAAGCAGTGTAACCTTAATATACAATATTCACCTCATAATGTTATAATAATTGTGTCTACAATCCAAGGTGTAAAGTGATAGATGCAGTAGCAGCAGTTTGGGCAGGTAAGAGTTGATTGTATTGCTGTCTTCACCCTTCAGCAGCTATGGGTGTATGTGTATAGAGTGTGTGTATGTCAATACGTGTGTGGTTGGTGGGAATGGGGGTGTGATAGAGGCTACAGGGATGGGGAAGACGCTGTTCCTCAGTCTGTTGGTATGTGTCCTGATGGTCCTGTATCTTCAGTCTGATTGCTGAGTCTTTGTTAACTGATTTGCATTGCATAGCACTTTGCCTTTTCATCTCAATAGGCATTGAGGGCAGGCTGGTTTTGTAACTACCATTACTATTACGGGAGGCCACACAAACTAGGGTTTCTGTGTTACAAAGTAATACAGCAACCAGAAGTATAATAAAGTAACAAAGCTGGATCCTACAATTGGTACTGGTACAGAGTTTTGGCTGGTGTCAGCTGGAGCCATCTGACCATGCCCCACAGCTCATTATTGAAAGTGCATTGAACATGCATATACTATTGGCATATGTAATAAATGCATAACAATATTAGTTAGTTGTGAAGTCGTGAAGAATTTTAAATATGTATTCTTGGACTGAATTACCGATCATGTCGTGCAGTGCTCAACAGCGACATCTAGTGGGGCCTGGCCCCACTGGTCCCTAATGTATAGATGCAACTGCACTTGATATAAAGTACCCAAGGGAAATGCCTACAGGAAAAATATAATTTTTTTTACATGGACTTTACATTTTCCATACATGATAACATATGGCTTTAGTAGGAAATACAAGTTTATTGTTTGTTGTTTCTTAATAAAAATGTATATTGCTTTTACATTATTCATATGAAACACATGCATGACCTCTCCACATTCAGTTGGTTTAATTAAACTGTTCTCAGAACACAAAGTGAATATATCAACTGAAAACAGATGGTTCCTTTTCAAAATACTCATTCTAATTTTGTGGAACCATTATGCACGATTCAATTAAATTAATTCAAATAATTGCGCATAAAAACGAATACTGACAAAACATTCATTTAATATACGGAGTACATCAGTGCAGAGCTGAAATGTTTGACAAAACATTAACTTAATATGTATTTTAGGAAATTTATGACAAATGACACATACATTTAATATGGATTGTACTTGAATGTAGGATTATATGTTTGACAGTACATTCATTTGAGTTTGCTTTTGTATTTTAGATCAATAAAGGACATATGTCTTAAGACACAATAGGTTAAATATGAGTTGTACATTTATTTTGAGTGTCATATAAAGAGCTTATATATATTAGGTAAAATGCATGAGTCATACGTTATTTTTAAAAATCCTTTCCGTATCGGTGTAGCCGAGTGTCAATGGATTAGAAAGGACTGGACTAAGAACACAGAGCAGTGGTGCTCCTGTGTAGATGATGTAAGGCTGCCCACCCAGACATTTTGTGGTCTGTATGTGACGAAATACAAAATCCAAGAGCACTGTGTGAGGGTTAATCACAGGTTGTTGCACTTATTCACCAGTTTATGGGTATCCAATGCATTGAAAGCGGAGCTGAAATTGACAAACAGCAACCTGATGTATGTGCCGGAATACTCCAGATGGGACAGGGCTGTGCGGGGTGCGATTGGGGTTGCACCCTTAGTTGATCTGTTTCCATGGTAAGCGAACTGCATGGTGCCGGTACAGATACATGGAGACGTTGGCCCTGATGTGAGATAGAACATAATTGCCAAATGTCCCCACAAACTGGTGCGGCATACTTTCCAACAAACTGGCTCTGTCTGGCCAGTGCACCAGTGTAGACAAGCATGAATACAAAACACTTACCTTCTCCTAAAATGCTGCAGTAACAGTTACTTGGTGCACACGGAATAGATGACTGATGTGCTGGATTGACAGTTCTAATCACAGATGCATGAAGGTAAGAAGGAACATCTGAAAGGTGTCAACTATCTTCTTCCCTGAGGTAGAAATGGCACTATATAGCACAACAATACCTGAAAGTGCAATAGCTTGGAAGTCCAGAGCAATATTTTACCTTGGAATCACCAACCTTCACAAATTGCTCTGGAACCATCAACTCCGCACAAGCTGCTCTAGTCTAGAAGATTCAGGTCGATCGGCAAGGCTGCCCCGATCCTTCCCATTGGCTGGGGCAGATGGTATGATTTCACAAAGAACCTCAAGTTACCTGCCTGTCGTTAACTCTTTCATTTCATTGGGGCCTTTTGGGAGGTACATCAAGTTAGGCCCATTTCCCATTGTCTTCAACTGTCCAGTGTGTACTGCATGTCATCAACCTTTCATGCCTTTCTCTTGAAGCCAGATTAGTATTGCCTGATACACACATCACCAGAGACAACCACAGTCCCCTATCCCCCAAGGAACACTCCTGCATTCCAGCAACGGTTGCCCTTGACTCCACCCTGGTAGCAGACTTCCACCAAGAACACCCTTTTCAGCTTGCTCTGTGGCCCTGGGACCATCTCTGATGCGTTCCTCGACCTCCAGGAGGTGCCCATTGGGGGGGAGTGGACTCTCCTGAATGCCCTGATTAATGCCTGCACCTGTTCCTTCTCTTTATATTCCAGCCTGCCCTTCGCTTCTCCTACCCTCCTGTAGTCCCACTGCCCTCGTACTTACCCTGTGTGCTTCTTTCCTGGTCATCATGCCTCTGTAGGACTGATCTTCCTAGCTTTTGTCCCTCCTGGAGACCATTGCAGTGAACACAGTTGACATGACTCTCTCTACATGGCTTTAGTGTAAACCTTCTTTAGTTTAGAGAACTTCAGTGAACTATTTCACAGAATATTAATGGAGGAGGACATGCCTTCCCATCCCCTGCTCCCTGAGATCCTGTGCCGGAGAAAGGATTGAATGATGGATAAATGAAATTGGATAGGTTTCATTTAGATGGGTAGAAATTTTAATTTTTGAGAAAAAAGACCCAATCCCCTCCACTTTTTCCAAACTCTGTTGTGTTGTAGATTTCAAAATGGATCAAATCGACTCTTCTTTTCATCAATCGACATGCGATAAACCAACCCAGTTATTTGGTTAATATATTCATAAGGCTCATTTTCCACACTATCCAGCTTGTTTCTGGTCTTTCCCCAAAAGCTTTGTCCAGTAGTGATTTGATATGGCTCCTTACTCATACTCATATGTAAGTGGAAGGCCTTGAATACATTCTGAGGTCAGTGTATATGTTTTGTATTTTATGCTAAAAGAAAAATCTAATAAAATGCACATATAAAGAAATAATGAAAGATATTCCTGCCTGAATTCACCACACTTCTGAAACAAAACAGCTCTTGTTATAAGTAACAGGAACTTTGTCTTTCCAATGTTAGATTAATTGCAGGTTTTTGTTTATAGAAAGAGATAACTCAAGAATATAAGTGGCTGTGATGTAATGGCAGTCTTCATATTTATGACCACATTTAGCCCTGTGGGGAAGCACTTTACTTAAGGCCATGTTTTTAGCAATTTATAAACACATTCAAAACAAATAATAATGCTTTCATTTAGCATTATCAACATGACTATAAATATTTATCAAACGGCATAACACATTATAGTCATGTGTATCATGCATTAAGAGTGCTCCGTGAAGCTCTCATCTATAATGCACTATAAAGCATTATAACCATGGCCTTAAGGGTTACCAAACTTTAGAAGTTATTTTTTTATGAAGAAGAAAAAAAACTTATGTATTGCTGTACATTTATTGTTTACAAGATATTCAGGAATCTTGAACATTTTTCACTTTCCCTCAAGAGTCACTGTTATATACATCTTTTAAAAAACTCAACTTCCTGTTCTTCAACACTAAAGTGCATGACACCTTAATTAAAGTTTTGCAATCACTGTTTCCGCAGTACTCTCTAATGTAATTAACGGAGTCCAGAAGCACTTTAACGGATGAAATCAATATGCATTAGTCTTCATACTGTCAAACTGAAAAACAATATTGATATCCGAGTGATATCTTAACGTTCCCACTGTTAGTTTTTGCACGTGAGCGTATACACAAGTATACACAATACAAACCCATATGTAAGACACCACAAAGCATCACAGATACAAAATATTGTCGTTTTCCTAAAGAGGTCCTGTGTCCTGTTCACTCAATAATCAAATTATCATGAAATACCACAATTAAGATGGTTTAATGTTCATTTAAAAGAAATATAACCTGTGTAAGGTGTCATCTGGTGGAATCATAGGAACTCTTAATGTGATCCAAGACATTAAGTATTAAGGATCCTTTGGGATGTGTGAAAGACTTTCTTATACAATCCGAACAGTATTAGCTCTCTATGGCAAAAAGCAATATAATGAGAACTTTCAAAGTATTGCTGTTTGACTTTTTCATATTTTTGGGTTCTCTTCTCCAAAGCCAAACAGATATAGTCTCACAAATTTGGCAGGTGTCCCACAGCAGCTCCTTAACACTTTGCTTCAGCAAACACAGAAGCCGCTCGCAAACCTGAGGCTGGGAATGGGCTTGTGCTTTAGTTTGTGTTGGGAATCACAGTACAGTCAGTCTTTACACAACTTTCACACATAACTGATGGGAAGTATGTATATGTAGTCATGCACTGATTTAAAAAAAAAATGTGATGTACCATAAATTGCTTATACAGCTGAGTGGTGCAAAACTAGTAATTTCCCATATAGTATAATTTGAAAGAACTGAAAGAAATCACTAGTAACCAAATATCAGGAGAATGAACAGAATTAGCCATGATGGGCAAACGACCTGAAGATTCACTCCATTGCTTGGTGGGAACTGCTACAGTAGGAAATCATGTGTTCTGGATGTCCTAGGGAAATTATTACTACTATTATTAAAATAATAATAATAATAATAATAATAATAATAATAATAATAATAATAATAACAACAACAACAACAGCATTAGTTGGAAGATGGCTGGATGAATGGATGAAGAATAATAAGAATATGGCATGGCAGTCATTCTGTGCCTGATTTCATCACCATTTTGTGCACCAGCTGAACTCAATTCACTCAGCCAAGTGCTGGTGTTTGGAATCAGTAACCATGGTGACAGAATAAAATAAACAAAAACCTCCCACACATTGAAAAATATCCAGACACACATACATACAGAGCCACACAAACCGTGACACCTGTTGCTTTATATGTAAATGGCCCTGAGTTCCACATGGGTCCCAGAGGCGAACAGATCAATCAAGGCAGATGCTGAAATTACGGCTGTGGCAGTAGGTCCTGAAATCAGTTGCGGTCTTTGGCGGGGGGGGGGGGGGTCCTGAAATCGTTGGGGTTTTTGGCGGGGGGGGGGGGGAGGAAGGTAAGAGTCAAAGCACATGCAGCTATCCGGTAGCACATGACACACCATTAAACATACCTCCTGAATAATCTGTTACTAACTTGTGCAGTTACACTCCCAAAAAGTCTCATAAAGTCCCTCTCCAGAGTTTAGTATGCTGTAGTTTACTGTACTGTATTAATATTTACAATAAAATAACATTGTAAAGTGTTTTTTTTCCTTTTTATAAATCTTCTGGTTAAAGAAACTGGAATAAAAATATTGGGTTCATAGAGAAAACCAAAGCCCACTGACATGGAGCCCACAAGTCATTCATTCCTCAGGGTGGGGTTCTGGGCAACTTGTCCCATCTCTGCCCCCTCAGAAATGGCGGCGCCGTGGAGACTCGCTGGACACACCCGGTGGCTCCACCAATCACGGCTGCTCTCGCTGCAGTCAGGCTTCAGACTCTGCCTTCTTCTGCCCGTCTTCGCCCACCTCGCCATCCTCCGACTGGCTATTGCTGAGGACCAGGAACTGCATGTCGGGATTGCCGGTGGCCCCGGGCCGACTGGAGGCCGCTATCAAGCGGCTCTGCTCCTCAAGATCCTGCATGTTTCAAGAGGCAGAAGTTCATGCTGTTCAGTATCACTGCATTACTACCAAGCAGAGAACCCCAACATCTAAGACATGCCTCTGCTCCGCACCTCCACCGCGGATAAAGTCAGACTGGCGTACCTTTTCGATCTGCTTCTGCTTGTTCAGCTCCTCCTGCTGCTTCTCCTTGGCCTTATCCAGCTCCCTCCGCTTCTCGGAGGCCTTGCGACCCTGAGCCAGAGGACAGGGCATGTCAGGATCCACCTCACCACAGCTGGGCCACATGTACACTTTACGGCCATTCCCGCAGCCATAACCATGTCCCCGCGGCCATAACCATCTCCCGCGGCCATAACCATGTCCCCGCAGCCATAACCATATCCCCCGCAGCCATTCCCATCCTCGCCACTTCCCTCCCTCCAGACAAAGGGAATTATCCAGATCTGGGGGGAAATAAACACTACCAATCACATTTAACATAATAAATGAGCACAAATAAAGAAACTTCAGGCAGCTCACGAGTGACATGAGGAATCGGCCCCACAAACCCCTTTGTAAGGCAAATTTCAGATTTACCTTTACATACCATTCAATAGTCCTCATAGCAAAAAAAATACGTCAAGGATATACAAATTAACTGAATGTACAAAGAAAATGGACAGTGGGCAGCATGTGGCTCAGAGGACTATGCCACTGCGCCCGTGATCGCCATGTCTGCGGGGCCCTGAGCTCCTTGGGGGCTGCAGTGGGGGGCTGCAGTGGGGGGCTGCCTTTCGCTGCCCAGCATGCTCTCATGGAGACCAAGATGGGGTTGGCGAGAAGAGAATTTCAGGGATGGATAAAGCTCCATTCATAAATTTACACACAGTTGCCTGTTTGCGCTTCCATAAACTATAGATCATTTTAAGCAAGTTGAGAGATGCCTGAATACAAATTTGAAGATTATACATTTGTATATAAGTGTCACAACAGCAAGCAACAGCAAAAGGAAACGTGTCAATTTTTACCATCTCGGAGTGGTAGGCAATTTGTTTTGCCAGTCCTATACTGTCACAGATCTGCAAAGACACACAAATAAAAGAAACTTAAGATCTGCATTTGAAATGCTGATGGACATGGTTAATATCGGTGTGACCAGGAAGATGAAAGGATCACCTTCTGGTTACATACAGCTGCTACGTATGTATGAAACACCTCAACCCCACTGCATCTCCAAAGAGATATTTCCAAGCACTTAGGATAGGGGTCGAGTACCTTTTCCCCGTCATTGTTGGACTCGAAGATGTAGCAGACAGTGGCGGGCTGGTCGTCAGTCTGCCCTGCTCCGGTCTGCAGGACGAAGCCGAAGAGGCGCTTGTTCTCCTGGTGCGAGGCGCAGAGCACCACGCTAGACAGGGGGAACTAAGGGGGGTGTGGGGGAGGGGCAGGAGGGCTGGATTAAAGCAGCGAAACAAAGTACCCAAACTCCTAATACATACATCCAATACATTTCCAGTATTTATGAGTCTTGGTGATAAAATTCCCTGAGAGCGCTGGGTTTACATTTCCCTAGAACATTTAAACTGTTACAGGGAACAAAACTTAGCAAGCTGTGCAATTTTAATGGCTGCTCCTTTTAAAGATTATTTAGCATATATTAACATTAGTTTAAAAGGTTACTCCCACTACTTTTGAAACAGCTCTGCATGCGCAATCGGAGCCAATTCCATTCATTTTCATCCTTGCTGTTTAAATCACTCAAGAATAAACGAATTTGTGAGAAACTGATTTATTTCAAACTAATTTCTTCTTTATAATTACTAGCAATACGTAGCAATACGACGTGGAGCAGTGGTTAGAATATAGAGAATACTGCAGCATTATTACAAAATAAGGGACTCTAATGCAGTGGAGGCAGTAAATGTACATAATTTCATATCTCACCCTCATACAAAACAAGTGAGATCAGGGTATGCATAAAACTTTTCAGAGTAAAATGTCACTCTTAAATGCGTCACAATTCTAAGAGTGACGTGATTTTGCTCCTACTCCCAGACTTAAGAATAAGTGGCATGCATAAACATTCTTAAGTGTTAAGAGTAGGTCTCAGCTCTTAAATTATTTAAGAGAGCTGGAGAGGACTGCTAAACCAGTTAGGAGTTGCACGATGGCAGCAGCACTACGCGCACAAAGACGTAGACCGCGCACTTTCCGTGAAAGAAAGGGCGTACTGCAGACGTACGACAATAATGAATTGGTAAAAAGGTACAGGCTCGATCATGAGGGCATTCTTTTTGTTACCAACCTAATTAGGAACCGGATACAATCTCCTGCGTCACCTAAAAAAGCACTTACAGTTGAACTGAAGATAATGATGCTACGTTTTTGGCAACTGGAAAAATATTATTATTATTATTATCATCATGTATTATAGCGAGGGTCATAAGAGCAATATAAGTAATGACACAAACCTGTAGCTTGCATGCTTGCTTTATAAACTGATTTCCTTTCGCGAAGTCTATAAAACATTATACCACCTTTTTTCACATTCCTCTGCTGAACGCCTTGTCCGAGGTGACGCAGCATCTACGGAGCTTGCAATAGCCTCCTAACCTTTTTTGTCAGTGCTTGTAACAGCTGGGCCAAACTTTTGTCGCACTACCTCCTTCCATTTAAGCACCAACTGTGCCAAAAGAACCGTTTTGTTTATCGTCCAGTTTGGTTTTATTTTAGAATCCAATGTCTTGCTAAGAGTTTTGCGTTTGACCCATAATTTATACAACATGTGCATCTATTAGTGGAAATTGATTGGTGGTGTGCTAGGTAGATTTTCGTACAACCAATTAAAGGTATAATCACAGAAAGGTATGTTGTATAAAGCTGTACATTAACGGTTTAATGTCACTAATATATTCACCGTGCAGCTCCTCTATTGGTTGAACTCAATATTTGGGACGGGATTTTATTTGTAGTCCTCATTTCACGACACTTAAATGCTGGCTCCGTCATCACTTAGGAATTGGGCTTAGACTTTGCTGAAAGTTACTTTTAGCGGCTTTATACAATGCTCTTAGGTACTACTTTTTGCTAAGATGTTTTTTAACTCTTAAGTCCAAGTGTACAACCATTCTTAAGACCATTCTTAGGAAGTTTTATGCATACCGGCCCAGAAATGAAGGATCCGACCAAGATGGTTTCCCACACTGCCCCCTGGTGGACATGACCTTTAATGATCTTGATAGACATCAACCGCACGAGCAAACATAGTCAGTACATTGCTTGTGTAGCGTACGTGTCGCGTGAAGTATATCCCAGCCCTAACACGTTTCTAAAAACAAACCAATTTTTAGGGGTGTACCTACCCTCAGTCGCGTGACCTGGGTCTGAGGGTCAATGAGCCTGGGAGGGGTGGGGGGCAGACAGGGAACGAGGAACATTTCAAAATTTATTGTCAATTCACCGTCATCTACAGCAATAAATGTGTGTCCAAGTACAGCAGTGAATAGCAGAGAATGGCTCCCCTAAATACGTATACTACTTGGGTTTGAAATAAAATGGCTAAAATGGAGTGTGCTGGAAATAGCTGAAACACAAACATAAATGAAATGGTCAAGAACTGCCACTGAGTAGAAGAATTGCCAAAAGGGAGGCTGACTAGCCGGTAGGGGCTCTAGTTTACGGCAAAATGGCAGTATATCTGCGAGCCTCATGTGCCGCCATGGGGCACAAACCCCCTAAGAGAGGAACAGCATTAGCGCGGTGAATGCGAAGGGGACAGACATGGGAAAGGCCGACTCACTTGAGACAGTCGCAGGTGACCAGCATGTGGGACTCAGTCATGCGGAAGATGTTGTGAATGGCTCTCGCGGCCAGGATCTGCCTCATTGTCTCATAGATGACGTCCGAATTATCCATGGCCCTTACTTCCATGGAGCCAAGGAAATGCACAATGTACAGCTGATGCAGGATGGAGTCTGCAGGGGAGACAGGAATGCAGGCTGTCGCTATAGGCAACAGGCCACGTCCTGAGGTGGGACAGAGTGCGACAGGCCACGGGATTCAGCCAGCAGGACCGGGGCTCTTACCCGCACCGTCCTCTGACTGCTTATCGCCACACTCCCCGAATGGGTTTGTCCTTCTTGCACGAAAGGGCAGAGAGACAGAGACCAGTTAGAGGTGGAAGTTACAGAACTCATTCAACAGCATATTATCCTGGAAAGGGAGACAGCAGTTAACTATGCTGGTCTACATGCAGGGTTCCCACTTTCTTCAGGACATAATTTTCCCGGATTTTTCCAGGACATTTAATGACCCGCACTCATTTTCACTTTACACTTGACAAGAGACCTTCCAGTGAAGTCACCTTTAAATCAGATTTTGCAGTCAAAGAATTACCTAAACTTCACTATAAAATACCCTGACACCATTAAGTCTTACATTATTTGCTTACATTTCTTATGGTATATCCCGTAACTGATAATCCACACATTCATTCCTTAAATTCATATTGACGTAATGAAAAAGCCATAATATGATGCATTTAATGCTGCAAACAACAGTTCAATCAAAATGGCTTTTGTTTTATACATTGTCTATAGAATACTTCATCAGTGACCCATTCATCATTTAGTACTTCTGAATTTGACATTGCTGTATTCCATGTTCTAGCTGTACGATGAATTTATTGGTTTGAAGCATAATTTGATAGCATAAAGTGCACACTGAGAAACAAAATAATATTGGCAATCCTGAACATTTGCCCAATACATAAAAAAAGACAGAAAATGATAGAAGCTCTTCAGTGGTTTCTCACTGTGGCTGCCAGGTGACATAATAGTTGTATTATTAGTCACCTTTGCATTTTCAGTTCTACCAGTATTGTTAGTTCCCTTGATTTTACCATCAGAAATATCAGTGAAATTATGGTGCATTCACTACACAACAACTTGCCCTCTGAAATTTAGCTCAAACTCATTTTCAACGGTGAGTAGAGAAGAACTATGCGAGGAATCATGAAATGAGCGAGTGAAGTGAAATGAGTATCCTTACAGTCAAGCATGCGGCTGACTTAAGCATATAATAGTTACAAATTCTATACAAAGACCAAACTAAGGTGTACCACCATCATTCGGTCAGTCAGTGGAAGCCACACATCACTTGAGTCAAAGTAGCTATGTCAGTAGTTTTAAACTAGTCAGACTACCTAAATATTCAAACAAATATTTTCAACAGGTCTATGCAATCATATATGTTGCAGTGTATCATAGCTTGCTTTTAATTCCCATGCAAATTTGCATCACTTGGCAACCAGCTAGAACAGGTACAATTAGCACCAATGCTATCTAGCTGCTGAATACTCACCTACAAAACAGCCACTCTGACCATCAGTTATTGGGTATGGTATTACTTGTATACCCAGTATTTATATGAATAAAAGGCAGGGTTTTTTCTTGAAATTATTACTTGAAAACGAGGTATAATTTGTAAGATTAATTATATGTACTGTAACTGTAGCTTGTTCAATGAAGTAATGCAGGAAACAAAACATGACTTAGCTTGCATTGTTACAAAGTACCAAAACAAATGAAATGAGAACAGCGCCAGGCTCCTCACCAATGATGTGCATCTTGTGTATGTCCTTAAAATAAAGTCTTAGATGTTTAATATGTTTACCTGCTTGGTAGTTATGATTTAGGTATATAGTAAAATGCACAATTTCCACGTGAAATTTTTTTTTCTCCCCACAAAAACTTAATAGAATTTTTTTCCTCCCCATATATATTCAGGCAAATATGGTACTTCCAACCAGATACACTCAAATGCTACCAAAAGTTGGCATTAGTCTACTGAAAACTACATATAGTGTTCGTGTTTTATAAAACCCTACAACTTCAAAATATAACCAGGTTACAATTTTATCATGTATGTAAAAATCCTGGACAACCCATTTATTTTCCAGTACATATTGAAATTCTTTTCCATTTTCTATGACTGAAAAATGCATTAAAAAAATCCAGGTTTTTCCAAGACACTTGGGAACTCTGACACCTGGACAGTGGGCTCTCGTTTTAGGTGAGTTTAAGAGACACGCCATATATCCTCTGGTTATTTTTTCTTTGAATTATGTGTCATAAGTTAAAATGATGTAAACTGCATAATAATAAAATTTTTAAGTATTCAGC